TGTCTTTTGTTATATCATCCAACATGGTGACCATGTCTTTTGTTATATCATCCAACATGGTGGCCATGTCTTTTGTTATATCATCCAACATGGTGGCCATGTCTTTCGTTATATCATCCAGCATGGTGCTTACGTTTTGTCATGTTACTAGGTATTATTATCTTATTACGAGTGAATGCAAAGAAACAATAACAATTTGTGTTTTCTTATTTATCCCAGGTCGATATTCAGTCTTATGGTTTGGATGCTCCAGCAGGCAACGAGGCTGAAAAAGCCATTGCACTTTTCCTAGTCACCCAAGGTGGAGCAAAATCTGACTACAGTAACCATCAAGGAAAGACCCCACTGGACCTTTGTATTGATACAGAATTAAAGGGGATGCTCAAGCGCCAAGACTTAGTGTATGTTTATAATAGCCTGTTTGTATAGGAAATCGCGCGATATCGAGTTCAATTCGGAATTTATAGGTACGAGTGATATTTTGAACGTTTTCAAGAATTGGACGAGCTTTTATTCGAGTTCAATTTGAGAAATTTCAAAACATCATGAGTTTCTATAAATTCCGAATTGTACGAGAAGATTGTGCAATTTTTTGTTTTCGATAAACTCAACAAAATTAAGCAACTTAATTGGGACTCTACAGAGTACAATTTGGGATTTAATTGTACTCCTCTTGTGCAATCATAATCGAGTAATTTTGTAGAGTGTATTATAATTATATGGTAATACAATATGCTATGATGCGCGTGTRGGTCAAAGTTGGTTTTCGCGCTGCCTATTTCTTTGCTAGGTTTAACTTTAGCTTGCCATTAAGAAAAAACTCCTGCTAGCATGGTAGCACGAAACATAAATTTCTAGATCACTTGGGCTGTTATRTAAGTTTTTAATGGTAGTTGAATATATTTTTTACAGGCGAAGAAATAAATACCAAGGTGGAACTCAAGCTGCTTTGGCTACACCACCACGACCAGTGCCAGGTTCTTTTCGAGCTCCTTCGCCTAGGACAGCTGTTCCACTACCGATAGCCTCTCCTGTTGCAGGAAATCCTAACCTGTTACCAACTTCACCAGGTTCTCCAAAGGAGCCTTGTGAGGATCCTCCCAATTCATTTCCAGAACCTAAACCTATTCCAGCTAAAAGTGCCATAGGGTCATCTGATGATGCCAAAATGTTAAGTACAACTAAGCCTCTTCCAATTGATCCTCCTACGCCGGTATCAAAGCTTCCAGCTGTTGTTTCAGCAGGAGGAACAGTATCGTCAAGACCGATGGATACAAGGGCTATAGCCACTGCGCCTGGGCCTGCAACCCCATYTAGATCTACTGCTGAAGCGACTCCAGAACCTAAACCTATTCCAGCTAAAAGTGCCATAGGGTCATCTGATGATGCCAAAATGTTGAGTACAGCTAAGCCTCTTCCAATTGACACTCCTTTGCCGGTTTCAAAGCTTCCAGCTGTTGTTTCAGCAGGAGGAACAGTATCGTCAAGACCGATGGATACAAGGGCTATAGCCACTGCGCCTGGGCCTGCAACCCCATCTAGATCTACTGCTGAAGCGACTCCTGCTGGTGATATATCCATGGCGTTAGCGAACCTGGAATTACGAGATGACACATCTGCATCTAATGTTGTAGGCACTTCTTCTGCAGAATCCGAAAGGAATACCAATAATATTATAGAGTCAGAAATAAGCACCTCTTCAAATGAAAAGGCAAAAATGGTGGAATCACAAAAGTCTAACTTGCAGGTGAGTGAGTCTTGCCTGAACAAATAATTCAGTAATTAATTAATACTAGACGGCGATAGAAGCTACAGAATCATTTGTTCCGAGAACTGAAACGACTGCAGCAGAAACCTAAGCCTCATGTAAAGGGTATTTTCTGCTCTGAATGATTATACTTGTCACAATCAGCTAATTAAACTTCCAAAGACGCTTTTGATTACGACTCTCATGTCTGGCCAAGTTCGGCAGTTACATAATAGGAAAGAAAAGAAAACCTTCAGCGCATCTGATTAAGACTTTTTTCCGTGCCTGGAATTTTTCCATTTTTATTGTTAACAATGCAAGCATAAGTTGTCTACTCGTGTGGCTGAAATCAAAGTTATGAGACAAAATGTTTATTTCCTTTAATATCTGGTAACACGTTCAGAGTTAAGCTCTGTTGTTTGGCATATAAAACAATTAGCTTCTGAATACATAATATAGGGTTATAGTTTTTCAATGATATTGATCCAAAATTGTGTTTTTATTTTATTTTATAGGATGAACTGTGTTGTTATTGTAGAGAGGACAAAGCAGATGTGATTTTCAAGCCTTGCAACCACAAAGTCGTGTGTCAGGGTATGTACTGGTAGCACTTCACTGTCAATGAAAGTCAAAAATAATTTACGAATGATGAGTTACACTTAGCTAAAACTTCAAGTTAGGTCCTGTGTAGCGCACATTACCAAGGTTCGTCAAGGGAAAACATTTATTACATATGCTGTGCACGATCTCTACCTTGGGCGTAATGTTTCTCATTTCAGACCACATGTCATTCTCTTGGGGAGAAGATTCTTTGTTCCAGTTGCATTCATTTTCATGACTCTCTGCTCATGCGAAGCCATACTAAACAAAGTAATGATAGTCTAAGGAAAGGCTAGTGGTCAGAAATGGGAAAATATTGTGTCCAAAGTAAAGAGGTCTATTATTTCAAAAATTGAAAATAATCAATGGTCATTTGCACATCATGTGTAGTCCTGGATGCACTTGGAAAAAGAAGAAAAATAGTAATATAAAGTATAAAGGACGCCACACAAACTACAACTCTTCGGAATGATAGTTATCGTACTATGATTATTATGAGGTGTTTTGATAGCATAGGGTTTTAGGACAGGGAACCAGACATGTGACTTCTTAAACTTTTTGTTGTAATTTAAGCGTATTACATGATACGAAAGAGTTAAAAAGAATGTTGGTTTTTGAGTAATGACTTAAAAAGCCAAGTATTCGATTATTTATCCTGTAATAAGTGGTCGCTATTCGATTCAACCTATTGTGTAGTAGACTGTAATAGTCATGTCGGTGACTCTACTTCTTGTTTTTATTGTGCATTTTTCAATTGCATTTCAACGTTTAACAGGTTGTTCCCTATTTCCTTTTTACAGGTTGCTCYGTGAGAGCAAAGGTTTGCCTCCAATGCAAACAAAACATCACTAGCAAAATTGCTTCAGRTAACTAAGCGTAAGATTAGTTTCTAAGCTGTCGCACATCTTTTAGTCAGCACGTTCTCAGTAGCCGATCCATGGGATGTTAGCAAGCTGAGWGAATTTCCTGCCCTACCTTGCAAATGGGTAAAATAGAATTTCAGGGAATTTAAACTGAACTTTCCCGGGATAAGTATGCCCTCATTTCTTCATACTAGATTATATTGTTTTCTTTTTCGTACCTTTAGTTTCATCTTAAGTGGTGTTATCATCCATATATATATAAACTCGCACTCGCCTTTCACCTTTGGCGTCTCAGGTTAACGTTTGATTCCTGTCTCATTATCCGAAGTGGCATCATTTATTGGACTTTTCCCTTATTTAAGGGGTTTTCTTCGGGTTATAACTTCTTAAATCTCCAATTCGATCTGAGAGTTAGACATGCCCTTGCTTTATCAGTCCAGAGGTTGGAATGTAGAATATTCATTTCTTTTCGTAAAATGCTAGACAATCTGAACGACTAATTTTTTACTCCCTCCAATGTTTAGGGAAAGAGGCTCCACTCGTGTCCTTTACAGACGTCAAAAAGGATTATGAAAAGAAAATAAATAAATTAGAGCGTCTGGCATTTTGTCAAATTTGCATGGAAGACGACAGACCAAGCAACGTGGTATTCCGACCGTGTGGTCACAAGTGCTGCCAGGAATGCGCTAGAAAATTGAACAGATGTCATAGTTGTGACAAGGAAATAGATGAAACCATTGTCTCATATCAGTAGCAAATGGACTGCTGAGATACTGCTGAAAGACTACAATTCTAGCTGGGCGGACTAGTTCTAAGATGTCACGAGAGAGAAGTGTTACTTCCCTACGGACACATAGATTCTCGTTGTCTTTTTGTGGGTCTTCTGTTCTTCTTTATTTCTTCAGTTGTATAACTTTAACTTTACTTTCTGCGATTCCAAATCCAACTCCACTAAATTCAACTCAACTAAATTCTGTGCTACATGCACTTAACTAGTGTTAATCAGATTAAGGAGATGACGTCAATCAGAAGCTTGATTGACATCTCTTACAATCATTTTCATTGGCTAACTAAATGTAAGCATAATAATTATTTAGTCCACAATTCCCTAGGAGGAATTTCAACTGTCATGAATTTACAACACAAAACCGTCCAGTTAGACTACATAGTTTCCTAGCAGTCACTGAAATAAGATTKAGCGGTGAATCGAAATTAACAGAGACTTGACTGCTACAAAGTGGGACTATCAGTCGATTACTGACAGCGCCCAGTTACTTAATAATCAGTAAGATTGGGACAAGCACTTCCCATCCCAATCGTTACTTAAAAATAACTAACAGCTAATCTAAAAAATGTAGTCACAAATCCTTTCGCTGCTTCTTTCTACCTACCGGAATGTCAATTACTAATTATCGACTTCGCATTATCATTGACATTTCGGTTCCCTAAACATGATTTGGAAAACATAATCATCTTGGTTTTCCTAAGCTCCTTTTCCGGCTATCCAATCTTAATACCTTTTTACAGACTCTCTGGCGCTCACTGAGTCACTAACGGATTTTCTCTCATAAATGAATTAATATTAATGGTTCCTTCTTTGCAAAGAATTTAGAAATGGAAAGCTGTAATTACATAGGATCATGAAGTCCTCAAGTGGGCTATCTGTGCTCCATTTGAAAGAAGGGAAAGAGGAAAGAGGTTCCCGCCTTCCACTAGCTCTATCCTGATGTACCTGACTTTACTCCAGGACGTTGCTCCTTAGTGTTAGCCGAATTCGTCGCGGCGGAATTTATTTTTATAGCAAGATCAGTTTACCTTGAGCGTGGCGTTTTTTACCCCATTGCAAAACGCTTTAATGAGCATGCGCTGTAGGAAGGTACATCCGTGTTATAAGGGTAATTCGTTACTTTAAAACAAACCTGTGTGGCAAGATTCTAAAAAGCACGCCCAAAGTTAAAGGGTCTATTAGTTTTTATAAAATAGATTAAATAGTACGCACGCTGTGATTGGTTGATAGCCATGTTTGCATGAGGATATGTAAACACAGTTGTGACGTCACAACTTTCGTGTTTTCCCGGTACAAGTTCAAAAATTAAAAATTTACAGTTTCTTTCGAGGAAAAAAACGCCCCCAAAAATGTATTTTGAAGACAAAGTTCCAAATTTTGACTTGTGTCAGGGCCACAGGCATAACCCTATGGTCTCATGAAGGTCTTTCTGAAGGTAATATCATAACAATCTCTCGTTGGTCACCGCAAAGGGAATTCTCTCAGGAGCTACAACACACGTCCTCCGTCAGGACAGCTGCGGTTGTTCAGCGACGTGCTTTCTCATGATTTAAATTTAGTTAAGTTAGGAATCGAGTTGGGAATCGAGTTAGGAATCGAGTTAGGAATCGAGTTAGGAAGCGAATGGTATTTTATTACAGAACATTAAACATATATATTAATGCCAAAAAAAAGAAATCGCAAGTAAAACGTCTGCATCAGCCGGTAATTATTAACATTATGGGTATTACGCAACCGCCAAAGACATAAGAGACGTGTTGACTGTTACTCGTTCGCTGACAAAAATGTTTGCTGGCTCAAAAGCGGATCTGTATGCTGCTCAATACAATGTCGGAAGACGAAAGCCGGTAAGTAATACATTATTCATAATCCTTCATTTATCATGCTAAATTATTCCATCCTTGAAAGATCAACATAGCATGTCGAAGCAAGACAATTTCTGGTAATAATAATAATAATAATAATAATAATAATAATAATAATAAAAATAATAAACTCTTTATTTACTGAGGGTAGCACTAAATAGCAATTTGCTAACAAACCTGTGGCCCTCTAATATATAAACTATGAAGATATGTGTATAAAAAACTATAGAATTATAACTACAAGTTAAAAACCCCTACACTAAAAAATAAATTATAACTAATAGTTAATAAAGTATTATTGAATGAAAAAAAAAGTTAGTATATATAAAAATAACTATTGAAAAAATAAAAATAAATAAAAATAGAATGAACTAGATTATACTATAAAATGATTTAAAGTTTTTTGATTGTCTAAGAAATAATTTCTTAAAGAGCTTTTAAAGGTAGTCAAAGAGTCGTTTTAATTTGACGTAAGGATAAAGGCAAGCTGTTCCAAAGTTGACATGTAGTTACACTAAAAGATCTCCCTCCCTCCGTCTTACGCTTAAAAGAAGGACATGTTGTGCGAGAATGCAAATCACAATTGCGCTTTAAAAGGCCACCCAAGTAAGAGGGTACATTGCCTTCTAACCTCTGAAACGCAAAGATTAATTTATTCATCTTTGCTTCGTCATAAAAAGGTAACCAACCTAGCGTATTGAATGAAGCTACTGAGGAAGATTGCTGGTCAGCATTAAGAATTATTCTTGCTGCGCGTTTCTGCATTCTTACAACCCTACCTAATAATTCCTTATCACAGTTGGTCCAAACAACAACTACGTAATTTATGACGGGCCTTATCATGCTATTGTAATATAAAAGCCGCTGCTTTAGAGGCAAATAACCCCTGATTTTCCTTAATACTCCTATTCGTTGCGCTAGCTTTTTGCATACATTTTCAATGTGCGGTAAAAAAGATAGTTCTTTATCAATTTCGAGTCCTAACAGTTTTGCACTATCTACTTTGGAAATTAAATTTCCATCAATGTTGACGATTGGCGAGCAGTCCATCTTAGAGGAGAGAACTTTACCAGTAACAATCAGTGTCTTTGTCTTTTTCTCATTGATGGGAAGCTTATTGGATGTAGCCCAGTCATGTACCTCTGCCACAGAATTGTTGAGTGCATCTTGAAGCTTGACGATATTCTTTACGTCTACAGACGAAGAGAGAGTGGTGTCATCAGCATAGAGGTCGACTTGTAATGAATTAACATAGAGTGGTAAGTCATTTATGAAGACAATGAACAAGAGAGGTCCAAGGATACTCCCTTTTGGCACCCCATGCTTGATGTGAGCATAATCAGTGTTTTTACCAGCAATAGTAACAAGTTGATGCCTGTCATGTAGATATGAATGGAACCAAGACAGTGAGGCATCAACCACTCCATAGGCTTTGAGCTTTTCCAACAAGATCTCGTGATCGACCATGTCAAAGGCTTTGCGATAGTCTACCAGAACGAGGCCATTGAGCAGCAGTAAGGGGGACTCGCGTAGCGCCGGCATTTGAAAAAATGACATATTGAAAAAGCCCAGCCCCCCCTGGGGTTTCGGAGGTAGGTTAAAGGCCCTGCAGGGGGTCTTGCGCGATCCGGGGGCAGCGCGATAAGTCCTTACTGCTGCTGTGTTTGGGTACCGCAAACGGAGGTTAAAATATTTGTCGGATATACGATGCATGAATGTAA